CTGGTTATTCTGTGCAAACTCATATATTCACAGTTGTAGCTACAGTTATGACTGTGTTTGTTTGCTTACTGAGGTGCTATGCTATTATGGGGCTATTTTCTAACTGCGTATATTCACAGTTGTCGTCGCTACGGCCACTGGCACTGTGTTTATGTACATTCAGTTATGTGTTGATTTGCACTTCTGTACATTGGCTATAGAACATCGGCTATGTTCTACAAGGTGGCACCCCAACCCCAAGCTGTGGAACCTTCTTGTGTGTCCGCTGCTGGGTCCTTAGTTGAGCAAGACACTTCACACTGACAAGTGCTGAGACGGAGCTCTCCCTGAGATGGCCTTACCACCGGCTCTCGCCCCAGCGAAGCACTTGGAGACTTACGCTCATTCTAGTGAATGTTGTCGCATTGTCTCGGACCTGATGACTGCAGCGTCACTCTCAGTCCGATACCAAGCTACGTTCCGAAGTCGCTTACACCGTTCAGAGCACAGGTTGATCCCTGCCCGCCTTATCTGCTGAGTTTCAGCCTCGCATGATGCCGATGCTCAGAGTGATGTTGGCCCTGTAAGGGATTTGTGGATGTACGTGGATCACTAGGCAGCAGTCTACCAGCTGTTTGTGTGCTTGGTGGATGGACGTGCTGTTTTATACAGAGACTTCTCTCTGAATTCGATGCTTTAAATGGTTGCTTAATGCCTACGGGATTTAGGTATGCTGGCTGTCTTCTCAGAACACATTCGCCAGGGTTCCAAGTTTGATGCACCACCTTAGCGTCGTGGGTTCGGTGAGTTTTATCAATGTACTCATGAAACTGTTACCACCAGCTGTGCAGTAGTCTGTATTGCAGAGTTACCATTGCTGCTAACTCTGTGTTATGACTATAAGGTTACATAGCTGTTTCCTCATTACGCAGTAGTTCCAACGTACTGTTAACTCTGTGTGTGGCTTAAGGTTATGCAGCTGTCACCGCTATGCCGTCGACACTGTGTTAGCTCTTGTGCTCGAGTGCTTATGGTGTTGTGCTGCCCTGTCCAGTGCAGCCTTCGCCTCATTGCAGTGGATGCACAACTTGGTAAGCCGGAGCAGACGTTGGTCTAGTTTCGCCTATCAGTTTAGAGTGCTCCTAGCGGCGCTGCTGGCTTAAAACTGTTGTTCCTGTGGGAGTGTAGCTTGACCCCGTTCAGGGCTTATCTTCACTACGCTCACGGCGGGATTCTATACAGTTCCCATATACGTCAGTATGACGTAATGTCGAAGTGACCGCCTTGAAAGGGAACGTCTCCGGTTACTATCGTAACCTCGGTTCCCTGAGAGGCGGGAACGAGACATTACATCAACCGCCGTGCTCGCCGTTTGATCAGCTGTGCTAGCGTTCAGTCTTGATTCTGACGTAATTGTCGCGCCCATGCTATTTATACTGCCCGCGGACCGGTCAGCATTTGCATGTTTTGCGTCAATTGGCCAGCTGTCTCCAGCTGGCGTTAACCTATAAGATTTCAGTGAAAATGGAGAAGGGAGGAGTTCCCATATACGTCAGAATGACGTAATGTCTCATTCCCGCCTCTCAGGGAACCGAGGTTACGATAGTAACCGGAGACGGTGTGTGTGGAGGCTCCGCCTTCTTTCACACTGAAATCTTTTCTGGTTCATTCCTCCTGTTCAGACTGTCGAGGTCAGACGGCTGCGAGTGAAAGCCTGAACACACTGGAGGAGATGCTTTATAGTAGAAAATGAAGTTGTAGGCCTACTTCTGATGAAACAAGACACTGACACTGTTTTTCATGTTTAATATGGTAAAGCTGCTTGATTTTAAGCAATCTATTGTATAAAGTGCGATATAAATAAATGTTATTTGCTCAAATAGCAAAATAAAAACTCCACAATTGTGACCCTGGATCACAAAACCATTCACCAGTCGCACGGGTATGTGGGAGTAGCCGACAATACATTGTATGGGTCAAAATGATCGATTTTTCTTTTATGTCAAAAATCATTAGGATATTAAGTAATGATCATGATCCATGAAGATATTTAGTACATTTCCAACCGTAAATGTATTTTTGTGAGTGAATACAGCACAATCGCGAAATGCACAACTTTAAAGGCGATTTTCTCAATGTTTAGATTGTTATGCCCCCTCAGATTCCAGATGTTCAAATACCGGTAGCTTAGTTGTATCTCGGCCGAATATCGCCCTATCCTAACAAACCATACATCAATGGAAAGCTTTTTTATTCAGCTTTCAGGTGATGTATTGTATACATCTCAATTTAAAAAAAAAAAAAAATACCCATGTGACTGGTTTTGTGGTCCAGGCCAGGGTCACAATTGTGTTTTCAAAAAGAGGAAAAAAATAGAGAGAGAGTGATATTGGCAGTCAGAAGAGAGATATAAGTCATTCTTACCGTCACTCCCATAGCCGCTGCGTTAGAAACACCCTCTCGGCAGCATTAACTAGTTTTTTTAAAATAATTTGGTGCAAAAGTAGGCCAATATAAAACAAAGTAGCCTATAGTATTCCATTATTTCACGATTTCTGTACTATTTGTACAGACTTTACATTTTTATTTCAATGTTGTATGACACCATAATTAGTTTCTTAAGGGCCAAGAACATTTTTCTAATGGCACAGCAGACATGTAATGTAGATGTTGCGGGTCAATTTGACACGTTTAGATTTTCTAGTTGTGTGGATTGCTGGTTAACCTATGTTTTTTCTTTCTTGATATTTTGTGACTTTTTCTCATTTATCATCATGAACATGCATGCAAAGTTTCAACATGCTGATGTGTTTTGACAGACGTTACGTTCGGAGGAGAAGATCTTGGTTGCTTCAACAGGTTCAAGCTGTTCACACATTGTTTTAGGTAAACACGCGGACATCTTTGGCCGTTGCTCCATGTTTAGAAAGCCACAAGTTAAAAGAAGCTTTTGTAACATTACACTACCGTCCAAAAGTTTATATATATATATACTTTTTTTTGAAGAAATGTATATTTTATTAAGCGGGGATGCATTAATGATCAAGTGACAGTAAAGACATTTATAATCTTACAAAAGAAACCGGACACAGCTGTTTTCAACATGACTGTTTTCTATGTTAATACATTGTCAAATTTATTCCTGTGATTAAAGCTGAATTTTCAGCATTATTACTCCAGTCTTCAGTGTCACATGATCCTTCAGAAATCATGCTAATATGATGATTTGATGCTCAAGACGCATTTATTATCATGACACTAAAAATGTTGGGTTAAAAACAACCATTTGGCCATATTTTCCACTGAAACGTCATCTGGTGTGTCTGGTCTGGTTGAAATGTTATAGTGAACAATCATGATAAATTTGGCTTTCTAATAATCCTCGATGTTTCATTAGTGGAGAGCAGAAGTGGAACAATCACTGATGCATCACAAATACAAATCATTTCCAGTCAGTAACAGAAGGAATCCGAGCGTCAAAATCCCATTCATTCTGTCCACATAGAAATATAATATACAAAGCTTTCAGATCAAGTCAATGTAACTTCTTTTAACTTTAATTTTCCTGGTGAAAAAACGCTTCCAGAATTGTTTCACGCCATTTGCATATAATAATTATGCTTTAAATGCAATGTTTGTTTGTGTTCTTCAGCACCTGTCATGCCTCTACCTGGACTAATGGTTTGCTAGGTATTGTTAAAGCATGCTTCCCAGCATGCATCTCTCTATTAGCAAAAATACAACCATCATCCCAAAAAAAAAGAGAGTCTGAAATTGGTAATTAAAAAGTTTAAATATATAAAAAATACACAAGGTTTTATTGTGAGTGATATGTACAAACAAATGTACCAAACAGAACATAAGAGTATAAAACATCATATTTTTTTCTTTCTTCAACGGTGAAGACAGTCTGGAGGGAAACACCTGATGAACAACATTACCATCATCTAAACACTTCACTCTGCTCGTATATTAAGGGGAATAATACAGCGTGGAACAGCTGAGGAAGGTCGAGGAATCTTCACGAGAGGAAAAGTGTTACAGTAATGCCGATTTTCACCGGTTTTAAAGCGTAGTCCAGGTTTGTGGAAGATTATCTCATCTGAATTAATGATGCTAATGGAAGTGTTTCGGCCAAACAGCCAACGGTTTCAAAATGTGTACATAAAAAAGCCTGTGCTTGTAAACATTTTACATAAATAGTAATATAAAAAAAAGAGAGTACACTATAAAAAGATAAACCCTCGTGAATCTCAAGCTAATTATGACACATTTTGCTATTTGGGTCAAGTGATGTACTTTTGTTTCCTTTTCATTATGTTCATTAAAGGAGAACTCCGGTCAATTTTAACATTGAGCTCATTTTTTTGTACATTTGGAGTGCTGTCAGTACAGACAAAAACGACAAAAATCGGTGTTGCCTACACTGTGTTATCCTCTTTTTAAAATTCGCACCCTGTTGACTTCAATGGGGCAAGTTCTAAACCTGCTTTTAGCCTCTTAACAACCTTAATGTGTCATTACAAGTGCACAGCCATGCGAGTGGTGTTATTAAGAGTGACCACGGTCGAAGTCCACAGTAGTCGATTGTCGAGTTCGCGCGCGTGATCGTTAGTTATATTAGTTACCAATGATCGCGCGCGCGAACTCGACAATCGACTACTGTGGACTTCGAACGAAAACAGGAAGTAAATACAGGTATGTGAGCTGGCTGAATTAACATCATTTTTATTAATATCTTTCACATCTACTGCAGTCAGATTGACCGTGGTCACTCTTAATAACACCACTCGCATGGCTGTGCACTTGTAATGACACATTAAGGATGTTAAGAGGCTAAAAGCAGGTTTAAAACTTGCCCCATTGAAGTCAACAGGGTGCGAATTTTAAAAAGAGGATAACACAGTGTAGGCAACACCGATTTTTGTCGTTTTTGTCTGTACTGACAGCACTCCAAATGTACAAACAAATGAGCTCAATGTTAAAATTGACCGGAGTTCTCCTTTAAACTGGCTTTTTTTAATTCAACCAAAAATGAAAACGGTCCTTTACTCGCCCTCATGTCACTGAGAAACCCTGTTGTTGTTGTTTGTCTGTGAAGCACAAAAGTTCGAAAGCACAATATCCAAACAGCTGTTTTACATGAAACAAAAACCGATGATTTATAAGGCCAAGATCAGATCATCTACTGTGAGGAACAGAGTGAAATGCACCTATTTTTAAATCGAAGTGAAGTGAGCAAATGAAGACATTCCGCCTTTTGTCATCAGATTGAGAATATGATACCAATCTGGAATGACGTGCAAGTCAAATGTTCATTTTTGGGAAAATCATTCCTTGAAAACGTCCATATGAATGTCTTGCATTAAAGCAGATTCTTGTAGTCCGGCAGAAGCCAAAGCTTCACAGTTCATGAGGATAGAAGAGGCAGAACTAAATGAGCAGAGACGGAGTGGGCTTCTTGCCAGGCCAGGCTTCTTTAGCGTACTTCTTCTTGCGGGGTTCGTTGAGCAGCTCGGACACGTACGGGCCGGTTACAGGTGTGGGGTTGAGCTTGAGCGGGGGCGGCGGGGCCTCGTGGGCCAGGTCTACGTCCGGGGCAGGGTTCGGCAGGGGTAACGGCAGTCCTCCCAGGATCGCGGCTCCGCTGGGAGCTCCTGTGGATTGAGCTTCGTGACTGGCAGGAGGGAGGTCTCTGTAGAGTCCACCTTGCAAGGGGAACGCGTGCATGTGTCGCGTCACGCTTTCCTCGATTCCCAGCACATTACTACCGCCCATTTTCTTCCTCTGTTGAGTAAACCAACATAGACGTATATGTAAATCACACTCGCTTTTAGCGTTTGGCTGAACGACTCGAGATATGAATACATTACCTTAATAGGAACGACAGCTGTTGAGACCATGTTTCTGAAACGCCCAACAGAGGGGTCGATGTCCTCTACAAAGAGTGAACAACACAAACACGGTTAAAAAAGGGTAGAATGAAAGGTTCACAAAAGTAGTGAGAGATGCTATAACTCAAGTCTTCTGGAATCAAAACCACAGCTTTGTATCACGAACAAACCAATATTGGAGTCATTTTTGTGATTATTTTCTTCTCCATCTAAAAAAAGAAAAGGGCACTTCGGACACCTGCAGGTCTTGAGTTCAGTTTTATCACATTTAAGATCCATAAATGTCTTAAATGGCATGAGAAAAGTCTAATCATTTTAAGAGGTCTTAAATTTGTGAAAGGAATGGAAGTAGTCGCAACACGGATGAAGGTATTTACTAAACTTCAACAGCCGATGATTTAATTAAATAAATATGAGCACTGCACACGGCACTGTAGTGTTTGCAGTTCACAATCAGTGAATACCATGCATTTATGCAAAGTGATTGCTTATTGCTGTTGATGAATTGTGCCAGCGTTTACGTCATGGTGTTTATATAGTAATATGCTGTAGATGGTTGTAAGAGTGCATATTTTATCTCCCTCATATGTTTGAATAGTGAAGAGTTGAAGTTGTACTACGGGGCTGTTGAATGCTTGATGTGCAATTATTTTCAGGGAAACGCACGGATAAAGTAGTTCCAGGCAGGTCTTGGACCGCATTACAGCTCCACTTCGCGTAGTTAACTAATAACGGAAGATAGGATACAATTCATAAAAAAAAAAATAATAACAGACATTTGCACTTGATCTGCCATTTTCGATGTCTAACTTCACAATCAATGGAAAAGTGTTTAATTTGAATAAATAAAGTATATAGTCCTATATATAATCAATAGAAAATTAAACTATTCTAAACAATAGAATATATAAATAAATATTGATAGGCCTACGTGTTAAAAGGGTTTTATGTTTCATTTATTAGAATAGACTACTGTCAATAATAGACTAATTAAAACAAATTAATAAATAAAATAATATTGATGCACATGCTTTCTGTCTCACTGCAATCTCTCTAATTTCTAAGTCTGCTATCAGTGGCTCAAGCCTCTGTTACTAACTCTAAAATGACATTTTGGAATTAGCAACGGAGGCATGGGATTAGATGCGTAAGAAATTAGTCCTACACATAAGAGCGTTTTTATGACAAAAACTTGACAAACGTCTTGAAATACATAATCTGAATAATGTTTCGAGGTGTGGTAACTGTAGTATAAGCGGAATAACTGACTCCGGGCCGTTGAATTATTAGAAGAATAATGCACACCCACTTCGCATCGTGACCACATTACCACCTCGGGTGTGCTTTATTTTTCTAATAATATCCCTTACTTAAAGGAGAACTCCGGCGCAAAATGAACCTTTGGTCTAATTACACATTGTTACCTAGTCAACCGTTCTCTGAGATTTGTTTTCATGATTATCGAATGTAAATAGTTTTATCTCTAAAAACAGTTTAGCCTATAAAGCTAGTATAACGCTAGTATATTGGGCATAGTATAATGACAAATAAAAATCGCTTGTTAATACCACTAACAAGGCTGAAAATAGCCCCACACTAACACGGTAGCATAATGAGGGTCCCTACCTGCAAACCGAAGCATTGAGAACTTTGTCAGTGTCCAGACAGTTTAATAAGAAGATATTTAATACATACAGTCAACTTCGCGTATACAGGCAGAAGCCATCTTTGAAATACAGTCTCTACCAGTCGATCTACGAACGCCGATCCAAGTGCGCTGGTGAGATGTGAACGAGCTATAAGTTGTGATAAGGTGAGCGCGAACAGCAGGCTTGGATCGGCGTTCGTAGATCGACTGGTAAAGGCTGTTTTTCAAAGATGGCTTGTGCCTGTATACGCGAAGTTGACTGTATGTTTAAAATATCTTCTTATTAAACTGTCTGGACACTGACAAAGGTCTCAATGCTTCGGTTTGAAGGTAGGGACCCTCATTATGCTACCGTGTTAGTGTGGGGCTATTTTCAGCCTTGTTAGTAGTATTAACAAGCGATTTTTATTTGTCATTACACTATGCCCAATATACTAGCGTTATACTAGCTTTATAGGCTAAACTGTTTTTAGAGATAAAACTATTTACATTCGATAATCATGAAAACAAATCTCAGATAACGGTTGACTAGGTAACAATGTGTAATTAGACCAAAGGTTCATTTTGCGCCGGAGTTCTCCTTTAAGCATCAAGTCCTAAGTGGCTCAGGTCCTCTTTATGGCGGCTCACTCTACCTGGGTTAATGACCTCATCCTCTTCATTGAAGGTCACTCTGGAGTTCTTCCTCTTCCTCTTGGGCCTCTGAATATCCAGGTTTCCCTCTTCTATGGTGAGGGTGGAGATGCGCTTGTTATGAGCGGTGTTGAACTCGGTCAGGTTCTGCCGAAAGAGGCAAAATTCATAAAAAAAAAAAAAAAAATGAATTGGTTCATTCACTGCAACATCCATTCATTGCAAAATATGCAAGTTTAATCAAAAGCCTGAAACCAGCAAAATAATTGTGAATTTTCACTAGTATATTAAATATTGATATCATAGGAAATCATCTAGATTATATACAGCCCCATTTCCAGAATAGTTGGGACATTTTGTAAAAATTTATGGATTTTAGTTCTGCATTTAATTGTATTAGGGATGTGCCGATCCGATCACGCGATCAGAAATCGGGCCCGATCACGTGGTTTCAGACTCGATCGGAATCGGACGTTACCTCCCGATCAGGACTCGGATATATGTAAATTAGGGGTGTAACGGTACATGTATTCGTAATTATTTAACTGTTTCGGTTCGAGGCTTCCGGTTCGGTACGCATACAAACCGAACGATTCCTAGGACCATTTTTCCAGACAAAATCGGCGCTGGCGCGATCACCACAACGTTGCACAACATCAAATGGCAAACGTAATGAAAGCGGAACGAAACTGCGCTACTCATTATCTTGTGCTTAACGGACCGTTTATCAGTTCGGACCAGCAACATCTGTGCAGCGCGAGATCAAGCGACACTGTGCTAAGAGATCCAGTGAAGAAAACATTTGAGTTCGCCACTGAAGTAATAACATCGCTGCGAGATCTAGTGAGAAGCTTTCACATTTCTCCGTTATTAACCGTAGATCTCTATTAGATCAAACAGCGCTGACGCGGACACCAGGAGAAACATTGTGCCGTGAATGAACATGGATTTAATGTTGCACTTCAAAACTCAAATATTATATATATATTTAAATGTTATTTTTAATGTGATTACCAAAACATTATTTGTTCATCCTTCAAATATTACCCCCATTTATAAACCTGAAAGTTTCAAGATGTAGGAAAACTCAAACTTATTTAAAAATAGTTTTTCTTTTAATAAATAGGAAATTTCTCTGGCATTTCTTTCTTTTTGCTGTATCGTATCGAACCGCACATTTTGTGAACTGTTACACCCCTAATGTATATATATATATTCTCTTTTTTTTTTTATATATATATATATATATATATATATATATATATATATATATATATATATATACACTTTTAAAACATTTTTATTTTTTGTTTACATGCCTGCCGGGTATTTTAAGTTGAGGTGCTATTTGTTTTTATATTAGACTTTTCCTATATTTACTGTTTCACTAAAGTCCAAAAGTGAAGATTTTATGTTATTTATTACTTGATTGTTCAAGCTACCTCACAGAAGTGCTCTGTTTGTTAACAGAGTTGTTGAATGTTAAAATAAGGTGAATTAAATAAAAAATAAGGAACATCCTAGATCTGTTTTCTCTCTCTTCTTTATTCTTTTTTTATGTATTATATAAGTATCGGATCGGGACTCGGTATCGGTAGATACTCAAAATCAAATGACTCGGAGGCAAAAAAACCTGATCGGGACATCCCTAAATGGTATTCTTCCGCAGATAATGTTAAGTAAACTACATCAGATGGAAGTCAACCCCTTCATTATTAAATGGTATAGTTCTTTCCTGACAGAAAGGAAGCAGCAGGTGAGTGTTAACTCCACTCTTTCTGAGATGATTAACATAAGTACAGGTGCCCCTCAAGGCTGTGTAAGTTCGCCCTTACTTTTTATATTATATACAAATGAATGCAGAATTATAGGAGGAATAATCTTATTATTAAATTTTCAGATGATACGGCCATACTTAGTTTACTCTACAACTATTCAGACATTGGTATTTATACACAGGAGATAGAGGAGATGGTGAAGTGGTGCAATAAGCATAACTTTAATGCATAACCTTAATGTTAATAAAACCAAAGAAATGATTTTTGACCCTAGGTCTATAGGCGATCAAAGTCCTATTCTAATTGAAGGAGTACCAATCGAACAAGTAACAACATATAAATATTAGGGCTGTCAAATGATTAATCACTTTAATCACATCCAAAATAAGTTATTTTTACATAATATATGTGGGTGCACGGTGTATAATTATTTTGTATATATATAAATACACACACATGCATGTATATTTAAGAAAAAAATATTATTTATATATAAAATATTTATATTTATATATAATATAAATTATATCTAAATCTATAGGCTATACAGTATATACATGAAAATATTTCTTAAATATATACAAGCATGTGTGTGTATTTATATATATAAAATAATTATACACAGTGCACCCACATATATTATGTAAAAAAAAAAAAAACTTTTATTTTGGATGTGATTAATCACAATTAATCATTTGACAGCCATAATAAATATTTAGGAATTCAAGTAGACAAACAGTTACAGTGGTCACTCACATCACCTGGAGTATGTTTCCTCAAAAATATGTCAGCGTCTATATTTTTTGAGAAGTTCATGGCGTTGACAAGGATATTATGGTACCGTTTTATAAGGCAGCAATTGAGTCCATTGTCCGATATGGTATTGTAGCCTGGTTTGGTAACCTGTCAGTTAAACTAAAATCACAGCTCCAAACATTGATCAAAAGGGCGGGAAAAATAATTGGACAAGTGCCACCGACTACTCTAAATGAGCTTTTTGAAGAGGCGGTGAGGAAACAGAGTTTAAAATATTACTAACGATCCGAATCATGTCCTCTACAGTCATGATACCCTCAGGTAGAAGGTACAGGTTACCAAACTGTAGACTAAATATGTTAAAATTTTCATTTGTACCACTCTCTATAAAAATATTGAACAACAACAAATAGGGTGTGTGGGTTAGTTTTTATGGTGGTAAATTATGTTTATTATACAACCAATCTCGAATGGCCAAGATGAATTTCTCCATCAGCAGACAATAAAGGCTAATCAATCAATCAATCAAATGTACAAAGTTTTGATTTTGATGGCTGCAACAACACACTCCACAAAAGTTGGGACAGAGGCATGTTTCCCACTGTCACATCACCTTTCCTTTTAATTACACTTTTTAAACACTTGGGAGTTGAGGATCCTACTTGTTAAAGTTTTGCAAGTGGAATAGTTGCCCAATCTTGTCTGATACAAGTCAACAGTCTGTGGTCGTCACTGTGCGGTTTTCCTTTTCATGATGGGTCATACAAGTGTCTAGAAAGCACTCAGTTTTAGCATGTGCAGAAAGAGGCCTGGCATTGTCTTGCTTCCCAGGAAACATGTCATCTTGAAGGCAGTTTATGTCTCTGTACAATCCAAATATATGCCTCCATGTCAGTGGTACCTTCACACAAATGCAAGTCACCCATACCGCTTGCACAGGGTTCCTGCACACTTTTGAAAGTCAAATTTAAGGCTTTTTAAGACCTTTTTAAGACCTGAAGAAATCAAAATTAATACCATACATTAGGGCTGTGCAGTATTGACAAAAAAATATCTTGATATTTTCAACGTTTTGTTGATAATAATTAGATGATATTTTACTGATTGTGTTTTTGTGCTGGTGCCATGGCTGGTTTAGGTCTGTTGTTGACAGCTGACTCACGAAGATATTCAAATTTTTCATATTCTATGCAGTGGTCAGTTCACAGCAGTGACAGAAATTAATATTTTAATTAAGGGGCAATATTTGCCACCTTAAATTGATTTTTTCAGGGGCATTTTCACCTATATATGGACATTTTTTCTAAACTTATTTAGAGTTATGCATCACCTTTAATGTCAAATACTATCATTCAAATTAAATTATACAGTAATTATACAATAATACTTAATTATATAATAATCATACAGTACCACTGTTACCTGTCAAATTAAATCATTCAATCAAAATCCATCTTTGCAGTGCAGAGGTGACAGAAGCGGCATCAGAAGTGGCATTAATATATTTACACTCCATTTACAACTGCATAAAAAAAAGCTATGAGATATATATTTTTAAATCAATATTCAATATTTAAATATGAAATGATTTCTAATTTTAAAATTTTATTTAAAGGGTACTTTAAATATGAAACCGCAGCGGCAAATCACTGTCTTAATAAGTGAGTTGAGGGAGTCATTCATTCAACCGATTCGTTCAAACGGCTGATTCATTCGGGAAAGAAGCAAGTGATTCGTTCAAAACGCGGATTTCAGTCAAGAAATCATCGCTGTGTTGCATTGAGACTCTGCTACGGTTTCATTTTGAAATTATAGTCGGCGAAATAAAGGGAAAACAAACAATATTGACAATATTGCGTCTAACAAGTAACTCAATGTTAACTTATTGTTAATTTAACTGTTGTACAACATAAATATCACACTTGGAATTGTGCATGGGAAAACGGCACTCTTTCTGATGTGATATTCTAATATAAGAACATAATATGATATAAATATAAGACAAAAACTAATTTGGGGACATAACAGTTACACTGCACACATCACGCAGTGAAAGCACGAGACAAATGCGATGTCAGCTCGCAGTGCCTCGTACATCGTTAAAACAATGATTACAATATCATAATAGACAATACACATCGCACACCATACGCGCGGTGAACTTACAACTGAACTGACATTTAACGTTACGACCTTTCTTCTCCTTCTCTCCTCTCGCGTGCAGGAGACAGTTATGCTGCCGCGACTCGCGAGTGACGCGAAATGTCACGTGAACTAGCAAATCCACAAAGATAGAATAATAAATAAATAAAAATACGTACGCTAATTAGATGGTTTTAATTTGGAAATCTTTTAGATATGTCTAAGTCAAAGTGTCATCTAAAATTTAAGACCTTTCATAAGTAAAAATAAGACTTTATAAGACTTTTTATGGCCTTAAATTTTAAAAATCTAATTTAAGACTTTTTAAGACTTTTTAAGGATCCGCGGGAACCCTGTTGCACTGATGCCCCGTAATACAAGGACAGATGTTTGCTTTTGCACCTCTCGCTGAAGAAAATCGAGTTGGTCCCTTTCGTCTTTGGGACTGAGAACTCGATGTCTGTTTGACCCAAACACGAGCTGAAACATGGACTCGTCTGACCACAGCACACACTTCCACTGTCTTCTAGAGCATCTGAGATGAGCTCGCGCCAGAGAACTTGCTGGCATCTCCGCACAGAACTGATGTATAGCTTTCTCCTTGCGTAACTGAGATTCAAGTGGCATTTCTTGATGCAGCGTCAGACTCAGAGGTTTCCTGCCTTGCACAACACACACTGGACTCCCTGAATCTTTTCACAATATTGTGTGTGGTAGATGGTGAGACAAAATCTTTGCAATCTTTAATTGAGAAATGTGATTTTTGAAAATTCTCATGATATTTGGCACAAAGTGGTGAGCCATGATGACCCATCTTTGCTAGCAAAAACTGAGAAGCTCCTTTTTCACCCTCACCTGTTACCAATCCACATGCTCATTGTGGACTGTTTAAAAAGATAATCTTTATAATCTTTTCACTTTTATTTTGCCTATGTCCCAACTTTTTTGTAGTGTGTTGCAGCCATCAATATCAAAATTTGTTTATATTTACTAAATACAATTATGTCGATCAGTGAAAACATTGGAAAACTTTTATTTGTACTTTTATCAGTTAAAAAAAAAGGTTCACAATAATTAAATCACAGATTGTGAATTTTATTGCATTTTACAAAATGTCCCAACTTTTCTGAAAATGGGGTTGTTAATTGCTATTGTGAAAAAAAAATTACTCGTATCATGATGTAAAATTGGTCACACCGCCCATGCCTATCATATATAGAATAAGATGGTAAATGGACTGCATTTATATAGCGCTTTCACAGATGGCCACCAAAGCGCTTTACAATTTGCCTCACATTCACCCATTCATACACCGACGGCGGTGTACAAGGCGCCATCCATACAAGGCGCCATCCAGCTCGTCGGGAGCAGCTGGGGTTAGGTGTCACACACACACACACAGCTGGGGTTAGGTGTCTTGCTCATGGACACCTCGACACTTGGTCAGGTGGAACCGGGGATTGAACCACCAACCTTCCGGTTTGTAGACAACCTACATCAGTGTTTCTCAACCTCTCCAGCAGGGACCCCCTGACAGGCCATGTTTTTGTTTTAACTCTGAAATGGCACACCTGATTCAAGTAATTAAAGGCTTAATGAGTAATTAGAGTAGGAATAGTTCAATTAATCAATTAGTCAACAACTCATTAAGCCTTTAATGACTTGAATCAGGTGTGCCATTTCAGGGTTAAAACAGAAACATGGCCTGTCAGGGGGTCCCTGCAGGAGAGGTTGAGAAACACTGACCTACATGAACCACTGAGCCACTGCCGCCCCAAATAAGAGTAATAAACGAGTACGTACCTCCAGTTCAGTTTCTTCCTCTGGAAGTCCCAGAAGTCCCTTCAGCTCCTCGTCGTCACCAGTTTTACTTTCCCCGACGCCAGAGCCCGGTTGACTCTGAGGTTTCTCCCGAATGGTGTAGACCCGCGTGGATGCGCCAAACGACATAGTCGAGTCGATGGGAACCTGCTGGGGCTTGTGGGGCTCCAGGCGAATGTGTCCCAGGAACGTACCATGTGCTACATGACATCAACATACATGCTTGTTTAGAGTCTTGTATATTGTTAATCTGACTGATAAATGTTTCTCGTTGGTCTAGATGCACTTACTGCTGTTGAGGTCGATGAGAAACACCCGTTTCAAATGCCTGTGGTAGACGAGGGCCGCATGCACGCGAGAGCACGACTGGTGGTCGATGGTGAAGTCACAGACGTCTGGGTTCCTCCCAAACAAATAATACTTCTTCTCATCAATGATCAGTTTCTGCAGAGAGAGCGCTTCAGTCGGCTGTTCACATTCAAACTTTATTTTTTGTGCTCAAAACTACTTTGTCGACACAAACAATCAGACAAAATTGGGCAGAATGACCGTATATAAATTAGGACTGTAGAAATGGGTTGACCAAGAAAAGAAAAGTAAAATAACTAATATATAATGGAAAATAAATGAAATAAGCCTAGTGAAAAAAACTTGTATTGTTGCATTTTTTTTATTGATTTGCAACATTTGTTTCTGATTTTGAATACCATAAATTGTTTTGTCAAGCACTGGTAAATTGTGGGTTATTTTGCCTCAATAACATCATTATATTTCAGACTAGTGGAAAAAATATCCAAAATACCAATTTAAGTGTTTATTTTATTATACTTTATATATGTATGTCTGTAGATTTAAATGATAAATACATATATTTAAAAATGTTTTTATCAAAATGACTTTGTTTCTCCTGCACCGAGACATAAATCTCCACGTCAGCATCAAATTTGAGTTTTATTCCTATAAAACTGTAAAGTTTTTCCATCCAGTTGACAGTATTTTCATATGTATGGCATGATAAAGAGAGATATCTAAAAACCTTTAAAATGTCAACAAAATCAAACCAATTTTTCAGCCTGGCTTCGTGTCTAGATTTTAGTGCTGTAATGTAGGCGTAGATGATGCCTCATATTTAAACATAACATTTCAGGAAACTTGTACAAAATGTATAGTCTTAATGTACTGTGATTAATCAACTGGGGAAGTATGGTGATTTATATTAGTTAACAATGTTACCATATTCACCTGTGGGGTTTTGCACTTGTGGCACTGTATATAAACCACTATACTGCAATATATTCAGTGTCCATGATATAAAATTACTCATAGCATCTCAGTATTTTGTCAAACGACCCAGTACACATAGCATGTCATGATGTGCCCTGGAGTCATAACACCTGAGGAGTGACTCCTCTCTCAGAGCTTAAATCTCAGGGTCTTGTTTCTCTAGCACCGGTTTTGGACCTGAAAGCCACCATAATGCACGCATCAGTGTGGGAAAAATAAAAAAAATCAACTGAGCTGCAGGCAGTCAGGTCAGTATCTGGTGCATCGCTGTCGCATGTTGGACAAACGGTCATTTATTTATAAAAAGGATTGGTTTACCCAAATAAATAAATAAAACCATATGCTACTGTGTTATGTATGTCATATGGCCCATTAGGCATTTATATATATATATATATATATATATACACACAGTACTGTGCAAAAGTCTTAGGCACGTTAGTATTTCCACCCCCAAAACATTTATTTAAGCCAGTTATTTATATCATTTGCTGTAGTGTGTCAGTAAGAAATATCAGTTTACAGAAAAAAACAGAGACAGACTAAATCCAGAAGAACTGCCGCAACGTTTCCAAGACGTTTGAAGAAATCGACCAGCAAAGCTACAGTACTGTGAAAAGTTTTTAGGCACTTGAGTAAAAACACTGTAAAGAAAGGATGCTTCTATAATGTAATAAATAGATTTTTAAAATAACTTTCGTCCAGGTACACTTAAACATAGTTTTTCAGGTAGGTTTTTCTGATATTTCCTACTGACACACTACAGAAAATAACTGGCTTAAAACCATTTTAACGTGGCATCTAACGTGACTAAGACTTTTGCACAGTACTGTATATATATTATATACTGTATATATAGTATTTTTGGAGGTGTGGTCACTTCACACTTTGCATGGAAAAGACTTGCATCAAGAAACTTTAAAAATTATTTTCACTTTTGTCTTCCATATAACAGCATACAGGTTTGGAACGACACAAGGTGGAGTAACATTACTTAGAACAATTTTAAAAATATGTGATGGTTAAGTTCTCATTAACAAGTCTACTTAAGTTATTAATCAATATTTTTAAAAATCAGTGCAATACCTCAACAAGTTTGTCTCCTTTCACCACGTCCAAATGCAGCCCTGCTGGAGGCTTCCCTGCCCTGGAAGGAGAAACTCATGAACTCATCTCACTCCACAAATCATCCACTGTGCAGATTATGATCATAAATAAAACATTTGGCTTCTGGGATGTTCCCTAGTTTGATCAATTAACATTAATATACTCTTCTACACAAAGAATGCTCTTTGTAAAACAAGTTTCAGTTCCATAGTGTGACGGTATATCTGCTAAAGAGCCAGAGCTAACAGTTCGGTGTAAGATTATTGTTTTAATGCTGGGTAAGAATGAGCCTTTTTCATGCACTAAACCTAGCATGTACTGCACTGTTTTGTTTTTATTACCATGACGGACAGTCGAAATTTGGATTCATCTCTGTAGTATTTGTTGCCATTGTCACACATTCTTCAATGCTATCGACACGCCGAGCATCCTGGGTAAGCTGCTAAAACGGCACGTCTTCCGGCTCATGAATATTAACGACGTAACGCGTATTTCTCTCAGTAGTCGTAACTGATTGGCTTAAAGGCATACGTGAGTAAGTGAGCGTCAGGTCAAATGGCGAATTAACTAACTCCTCTGTGGTGAAATACCACTGAACGTGTGTGAACCATAGTATATAAACATAGATGCCTCATTATGGGCCGTTAACATAAGCCGTCCGCCATATTGCAACGGTCAAAACACCGGTGTGGTGAAGAGTTGAGTCCCAGTGACGAGTCTCAGCCGTTGAAGAGAAATCGAGTCTAGAGAGATTGGGAGTCTGCAACAGACAATATCTGACAATATCTGACAACAGACAATATCAATATCTGCAATAATCTTCAGCAGATGAATTTAGAAAACTAACACAAAACAACACGACGAAGGAGTCAGCTAACACAACATTAAAAAGTTACCACAGTGTGAAAAACTGTAATATTGAGTTCATATACATATAAAAACACAAACCAATGTAAAAGGTTATACCATTTCTTTGGAAATTTAAATCTACCAGAATTTACAACCAGAAACTGTGCAGTGTTGTGGCATTATTGATTGTTACTGTGAGTGACCACATGCTGACTGTTGCAAGATGGCAGACGCAGTGACGTGCATGGAGTGGTCCAATTTTGAATATACCGGTATGTATAGATATCTATGGTGGGAACACCCTTTTAGGGAGGTTAACCAATCAATATCAGCACTACTCAATTAATATTCATGAGCTAAGCCTTCGCCATAAAAGGATTTGTAATTCCGGGAGATAGTTGCCAGTTGTATAGACAGTTGTGGTCACACAACACAAGTGAAACCGCATAAACATTTAATGTTATAGGCCTACAGTTATTATATGTTGAAACAAAATATACAAGTATAATAAATACATTAAATCGAATATTTAAATAAAACTTTAAATACAAATATTCAACAAAAAGAGGCTGTGTGCAGTTCACTATATGGTGTTTGTGGTTTCTGTGTGAGTCACTTTCGAGACTTCCTCTCTTGACTATAGTGTTCGAGTGTGAAAATAGCAGATCAGCGCAGTGTGTGACTGTCCGCCGTGAGAGATGGGAGACCTCCAGTCCTTGCGAGTCTTTATCAACTGTCTGGATCAGCAGTCTCTGCCCCGCGTCCTACAGGTCTGCTCTGGGGTTTATTTCCAGGGTATGTTTCATGCTTTAATCCTCTCTGCATATTCTGGATGACACTTTTTCAAAGGAGAAAAAATTAATAAACAAGCAATACTAAATCCTACGGTTCTTCGATCAGTTTTGCTTTCCATGTCTGTACATGTATTGTAATTGTTCATTAAAATATTAATTAATTAGTTGAACAGAAGTGATTTGACATTTGTCATTATTATGTGTGAACATAATACATTTATGTTCACACTTCACACTAAAGTATGTTTTGTTGTTATTAAAATGGCTGTAAAGGTCCTTTCGACCACAAACAGGACATGAACCTTTTTTTTCCCCCATCAACGTGGTTTATGCCGTGCGCCTTCGCTACAAGTGAATATGACCGGATCTGGTTTAGTATTGTCTGCATAAAAAAACAATAGCCTATAAAGATTGTTTATATAAAGGGGGAACTCAATTTAAAAGTGAACAAAAAGAACACCACAAAAAACAAAAACCCCGAAGATTGCTCATGACTGCATAAATCATGCATTAAATCAGTGGTTGTCAGCTTTTTTCTGTTTGTCAGATTTTAGGTCAAATTGTGAAATCAAAGGTATAGTTTGTTATTCGAAAATAAAAATTCCCAAACCGAAATGTATTACAAATTAAAATCTTGGTTTTGAGAATGAGGGCATGTCTCATGACCTGTCCAGGTTGGCAGCTAACTGTTAGACTTAAAGTGACAGATATATTTGCACTAAACTACTGAGATTGATTAGACGCCTTTGACATCAACAACAAGAAATTAGTGTTTTCTTTTCACTTTTAAAAGATGATAAGCCTGTTTATTTTCCTATCCTAATTATACACTGATTTGATTTGAATAGTTTGTTTTCACCTGCTGCAACAGATTTTTGGGTTGCAAAAGTTGAAATGCACTGCTTTAAATAACGAGAATGTATATTTGAGTGAAGTACAATATTAAAAATGAAGTAAATAGGCCTTCAAAAATAAAATATAATCAATACCACATGAGGAATTTACTTTCAGAATTCAATGTGATAAAAAAATGTTCTGACTCCCTATGCCATGTTTAACTTTGTTTTAATGGGATCAAAGGTTGTTGGAAATAAACGTTTAAAATGAACGCAGATGGTTATGCAAATAGGACATGATGATGTGTTATTTTCAGGGTCCGTATATGAGCTTTCGGGAAGTGAAGTGTGTTTATCTACTGGAGATTTGGCGAAGATCATTGGCTTACAGCTCCTGTCTGTATCTTGTGAGGAGATTGACACTGGAGCTTCATATGAATTGCCTACTGACTATTCAGGTTAGTCTCTAAACAACAGCAATACACACAAACTAGAGTTGATTTAAATAACTATCTGTATTATTCAACATAATGGTTACATTAGCATATGTGAATAACAACCCAAATGATTAGAGGTAAACTGGGACCGGATTCATGGAGACAGGGATAGCTGCAGGTCGGAGTAATGGGTAATGTGCCGAACAACAGAAACTAAACCTATACAGGAAATTTCTCAAGCAATTGACCAATTGGCCATGGAGGGATATATAAAAGATTTTAATATAAATATGGTGGGTAATAAGATTAATTTGGAAGCAAGGGTTTACAGATCGCAATGCAAACGGGATAAACCTCATGTTACGGCCGTACTGTAGATTACAACATCCAGGATCAACACTGTTCATGTACCGCAGGGTAAAATGAAATTCATTTACATTTAACCAGTTTAATATATAGAGGCACTGAATTGTAGACCAGTCTGCACATGACTTGAGAACAGTTAGCTATTTAGGTTTGTACGTAAGCATGGACTCACTAACTTTAATTGTAACTTAATGAGAGGACCAGAAAATGACCGTTTTCGTCTTCATTGGGATTGGGGGTGAATCCTTAGGGATCCAGGTTAATGTGCCCACATCATTGGATTAATACACTTAGTCCAAAGCAGATATTTTGCTCTGTCTTGTTTGGGTTTAGGAAATGGAAGAAAATAAATCCCATTGCCTATCCTCTCAGGATACCTGGAATCAGTGTTACAAGAACCCAAGGCACATCGTTTTACCATTTTTGTAGCATAAACACCATCAAACCGGTGAGATATTTGCATCTTCCAATGTTTCTCTATGGCGCTGAAACCTAAAGATGTCCGAGTTCCCCATGCAACTGATACTCGACTGCCATTGGCTCATCTGCGTTCGAGGGGAGGGGCTTACCAATAGGTCAATTGTAAGACCTTTCGGCACGCCAATTACTCCAACCTACAGATACCCACACTTGTCTCTCCATGAATAAGTCATGATGCTAGTTCTTCAACTTAAGCTCAAGGTGGCTGTTGTCCTATAGGCAATTAATTTCTAAACCAAAAGCTAGGGCAAGTTTATTGATTTTCCCACACTGTGAATCTCTCTAGGCCAATTCAGACTCGTCGCTGAGGAACTCCCGTACAATACAATAGAGGAAATTGTGGGTCTGTGTCCTGTTGGAGTGGACGCCTGTGGCTCCTTCATCTTCACAAGCAGCGAGGAGTTGACTATAGACAACTTCACAGTCCCTGCAGGAACAAAGTTGACCCTGGTTTCAGTGGAGGCCGCTGACGATGGAGAAAGTCTTGCACGGTGTCATGTGGTGGGGCAGAACAAGGCGTCTGCAGAGATACTCCTTCCTCTATCCCTCAAAGGAGAGTTTTATGAGTACGAAAGTGACCGGGGTTTCACTCTACAGGAAATCATGTCATCAGCCAGGCTGAGCTGCCGCCGCTTCCGCAGCACAAATATGAAGAACTGTGGCGCCTTGATGGTTTTCAGCCCGGTGTATGAAATTAGCGCCATTATGCATAGTAAGTACAACAGTGTTACTTTACTTTAGAAATCTTTGTCAAGTCCCTTTTCCTCTGACATGGTGCTGGTGCCAAAGCCAGATATGTAACTGTCCAGAACGCAGAGTGCTGCAGTTTTGACATATTTTTGTAGGCCGGTGTAGTGACAAATTGGGTTCCTAACTTGTGTTCACCAGAAACCTTATTTCAGGCATTTAACCAAATGCTCATTGACTTCAGGCCAATAGAAGCGGAAGTGGCAAAATGTTAACTAATTTCCAGGTTTTAGCATACAAAAAAGCGTCATCCTCCCACTACAGGAAAGGTAGTTGTGGGCCAGAAAAATTGGCTCCACACTGACCCACAAAACCTTCTGGTCTCAAATAAGGAACTGCAAGCGTCTCAGACTGGAAATCTGCACTAAACGTTTTCTAAAGAGCCGCAACTCAATCTAGCAAGAATTAAGGAAAAATAACTAGATTACACAAACCAGATTCTTTGCATTAAAACTAACACTATAACTACCAAGATAATTCACTCATTAATATGAATGGGATAAAAATTTAGCATGCACAAATTATATCTTATTAAAAAAGAGCCAATCTTTTAAGAAGCTCCGGTTCCCATAGAAAAAGTTGCGCTATTTGGACTGCACATGTGCATTGGCTGGACTAACTTGCTAATTGAGGATAAATATTTATGGGATAGTGCATAAATTTTGTTCTTTGTTGCTGTTGCTGATTTTGCAATATGTTCTTTAAATGTGGATTTGGCAGGCAATTTTTGAGATTTTGATATTGCCCCATTCAAGTAAATATGAATTGGTCTTGCATTCCCTTCCCTTCCCCTTTCCTCCCTTTGATTATAATCAATGAAGCAGTCTGAACTGAAAATGAGTTGCAATTAATTTAGTTATATCTTTCAACGTTGCATCAAAAGCATCTTGTGATTTCATTAAATTATTTTTGAGGCTAATACATGTACTCAAAATTTAAGCACTCATAGTCTAATGAGCACAAATAATAAATGTAGTAATGTGACCAATTCCTGTACGTCACTGATATGCAAGTTAGTGGAACCATTGGCCAGTTCTAAGAGAGGTTTGCAAATAGCCCAACACCAATAGGGGCTTTTGCACCGGCTAGTTCTAGGAACTAGACACAGGGATGGTTCCTCAAGGACTAATATGGAGTTAATATTGTACATAATTAAACAAACAAATCCAGCATTTCGCAAAGTTTTGCTAAGGAAAACTCGACTCGCAAACAAACAGAAAGCAATGTGCAAGTACAAAGGTCAATTTGAGCGAAAATGCAGTGGAGTAGCACATATGCATTGTGTTTTGCAAATAGAAATAAATGAGCCTATATAATATTTCACAAATAAATACAAACCATCCTACAAATTGCATGTAACCTTTGAACAAATACCAAATCTAGTGCATACAAATGCATATCTGTCTGTTATTATGATTGTAAGACACTTGGCTTTTTATGACATCTCTCGGCTCGATTTTCTCACAAATGTATCCAGGCAGGATTTCTCACAAATGCAGTTGAGCAACTTCCTCTTCTGAAATATTATATAGGCTCGTTTATTTATATTTGCAAAACACCATGCATATGTGCTACTCCACTGCATTTTCGCTCAAATTGACCTTTGTACTTGCACATTGCTTACTGTTTGTTTGCGAGTCGAGTTTTCCTTTGCAAAGCAGATCGAGTTTGTTTGCAAAATGCTGGATTTTTTCGTTTAATTATGGCACAATATTAACTCCATACATGGGCGGCGCTAGGGAGGGGCTAGCAGGTGCTTCAGCACCCCCAAGAAAGACCAAAGCACCCCGATAGCACCCCCTAAAATAATGTCTGGAATCAATTATATTCAAATATATCGAGGGCTTGGAGCCAGAGGGGCGTAAGTGGCTTTTGACCAACTTTACAGGAGAGACAAAACAAAATTTTGACCACACTTCAATCACCTGTATCATTAACCTTAAACCACAAACATTGCAACCACAGGCATACTTACATGAATGAGTATTTAAGTAAAAAATGTATGGCATATTAACACAATGAACATGTTCTAAAACATTTTAAAATAAAAAAATATGTCAAAAACGTCAGATACGCCTTTTTGGCACCAAACATTTCCAAGTCTTCTATGGACATATTGGGCGTATCTGCTGAACAATGCAGAAAATATTTGATAAAAAGGGGAATTGATTGAATAATTAACACTTGAATCACACTTGAACAAGTAATTATTTTTCATTTAACTCATTCATTATTATTATTATTATTATTTTTTTTTTTTCACCTTTCCATTCTGGGCATCTGCTGAACACTACAGACTGTAATTAAAGTCACTGAACTTGCTAAACACACTTCTGATTGGCAATTCATGAGTTGTTCAATTGATTTCATTACAATTCTTTTTTTTTCAATACTCTATTCAATTGACAGTTCTCTCGTGTTCTTTTTGCTTTTTAGTTCTTTTCCCTCACCTTCCTTCCTGGAACATGAATGCCATGTGAATTAATGTACCCTTTGCCAGAATTTCTTAACCTTTTACGTTGGTTTCTTTTCCAATTTTCAACATCTCTCTGTCTTTTTCTTCCTTTTTGTGGTGTGTTGGCATCCTCTTCCTGGCCACTTTCAACCCCTCCCTCCTAAACAGGCTCAATGTCTACTGTCTCAGTCCCTCGATCTTCTTCTGTCTCCATGTGTCCCTCATCAATTGCATGATCTGTGTCCCTGCCTGTCTCTCTTTCCCCATCTTCTGCTGTCTACATGTGTCCCTCATCTCTCTCCCTCATCTCATGCTGTGTCCCTAAATTATATAATTAATATTTATTAATATCCTACATGAATGCCCTGATACTAATAACTCGGGGTAAGGATTAGATAAGGTAATGTTCTAACTTATTTTCTATGCAAGTCAGAACTCACTTCCTCCATCTGTCTCCATGTGTCCCTCAAGTTGATCTCTCTTCCTCACCTCATGTGGCTGTGTCCCTTAATGATTAACACATTAATATTTATTAATATAATATCCTACATGAGTGCCCTGAATCTATTAGTTCAAGGCTAGGGTAAAGTAGATTATGAGAAAGTTCAAAAGAATATTCTCTGTCAGAACACAGGCACAGTTAGCCAGATCAGACCAAACCAATGGGATTAACGTTAGCCATGCTAGGCTAGGCTAACAAGGTAAGGCTCTCAAGGCATGATTATGTCTTACTGTCATCACTCTTGTGAGGAAATGCATTCAAACAACTCTGACTCATCTTCAACTTCTTCAATATACACTCACCTAAAGGATTATTAGGAACACCATCCTAATACTGTGTTTGACCCCCTTTCGCCTTCAGAACTGCCTTAATTCTACGTGGCATTGATTCAATAAGATGCTGAAAGCATTCTTTAGAAATGTTGGCCCATATTGATAGGATCGCATCTTGCAGTTGATGGAGATTTGTGGGATGCACATCCAGGGCACAAAGCTCCCGTTCCACCACATCCCAAAGATGCTCTATTGGAGATCTGGTGACTGTGGGGGCCATTTTAGTACAGTGAACTCATTGTCATGTTCAAGAAACCAATTTGAAATGATTCGAGCTTTGTGACATGGTGCATTATCCTGCTGGAAGTAGCCATCAGAGGATGGGTACATGGTGGCCATAAAGGGATGGTCATGGTCAGAAAACAATGCTCAGGTAGGCCGTGGCATTTAAGCGATGCCCAATTGGCACTAAGGGGCCTAAAGTGTGCCAAGAAAACATCCCCCACACCATTACACCACCACCACCACCAGCCTGCACAGTGGTAACAAGGCATGATGGATCCATGTTCTCATTCTGTTTACGCCAAATTCTGACTCTACAATCTGAATGTCTCAACAGAAATCGAGACTCATCAGACCAGGCAACATTTTTCCAGTCTTCAACTGTCCAATTTTGGTGAGCTCTTGCAAATTGTCGCCTCTTTTTCCTATTTGTAGTGGAGATGAGTGGTACCCGGTGGGGTCTTCTGCTGTTGTAGCCCATCCGCCTCAAGGTTGTGCGTGTTGTGGCTTCACAAATGCTTTGCTGCATACCTCGGTTGTAACAAGTGGTTATTTCAGTCAAAGTTGCTCTTCTATCAGCTTGAATCAGTCGGCCCATTCTCCTCTGACCTCTAGCATCAACAAGGCATTTTCGCCCACAGGACTGCCGCATACTGGATATTTTTCCCTTTTCACACCATTCTTTGTAAACCCTAGAAATGGTTGTGCGTGAAAATCCCAGTAACTGAGCAGATTGTGAAATACTCAGACCGGCCCGTCTGGCACCAACAGCCATGCCACGCTCAAAATTGCTTAAATCACCTTTCTTTCCCATTCTGACATTCAGTTTGGAGTTCAGGAGATTGTCTTGACCAGGACCACACCCCTAAATGCATTGAAGCAACTGCCATGTGATTGGTTGATTAGATAATTGCATTAATGAGAAATTGTACAGGTGTTCCTAATAATCCTTTAGGTGAGTGTAGGATTCATCAGTTTGTTTCATAATATTCATCAAAATCGTTTCTGCCTCAGACAGTTCCATGTCTGCAGTTGTGTCAGCCATTTTGAATGCAGTTTTAGGGCACCAACTACACTTACGCCCTTCTGGCTCTGAACAAAAATGTGGGTCCTTATTGTATTTTTCAGAGCCAGAAGGGCGTAAGTGGACTTACGCCCTTCTGGCTCCAAACATTACTCACACTTTTGTGTTAGGTCTGTATTGTTTTGTTGCTTTATTCAATACAGTTTGATCTCAGATAGGTCTTTTTGGCACAACTAGATAGAGCTCATCAAGACCTTTAATTTGATATATAGAACTCATTTTCGCCCAAAATGCCACTTACGCCCCTCTGGTTCCAAGCCCTCGATATGTTATTTCGAGATATTAAGTTATAATATCTCGGTATTTCGACATAATAACGGCAAATTTCTGTCCTGCCAAAGCATTTTTTGATCGGTGAGTGATGTAGAATAGAATGACTGCTGCGCTTGACAGGGCGCATCACGAGCAGAGAGAGAGAGCCCCGGCCGCGCGCGCGCACTCTCACGTCTTCAAACACTTCTCGCGCATATTAATCTAAATCAATTGACACGATAGTAAAAGGTCGGAAGACCGCAGTTTCACGTGTAGCATTTGGAGATTTGTTCTCCTGAATTACCGCGGTGTGTGAATTGTGCTAAAAAAAAACACGTTGCCTAGCTTATCGTCTCTAAAAAGCGTTCCGCCCATTCAGCTGACCTAAACTCCAGTGATTAAATGTTTTCTGTATTGACGCAAATCTTGTGCGATGTCCTAAACTGCCGAGATAATCACAAGCGTGCCGTAGACGTCCACTAATGACACGTCCGATACGCAAACGAATGACTCATTTTAACCATTCACTTTAATGAATAGTTAAAACAACTGACATGTCCAACACTGAACTCACGAGACCTCTGAATCGGTGTATAAAAAATCGGTAACACTTAATTAGATTAGTTAACATTTACTATTAACTGCACTTCAGCATTGTTAATGTTAATTGTTTCAATATTTAGAGAGTCAGGCCCACTATGTGTGTGTTGTAGCCATTAAATAAGCGCATTTAATTTCATTTTTGTTAAAATATTATAATGTTTTTTTGTTGTTTTTTACATCTATGCTGATTATGAAAATTGAACAGCATGAGTAAGATGCGCGATATATCGGAAGATATGATGGGTCAGACATGATTTTGACCACTAAATTTACATTTACACATTTACATTTAGTCATTTATTTTAGCAGACGCTTTTATCCAAAGCGACTCAACTGAGGACTAAATCAAGCGAGTCATCGTGAAAAGGCAAAAACAACGCAAGAAGTGCTCAAAATACCAAGTTCGGACATTGCTCGGAGTAGCATAAGCCAGACAAGAGGATTTAAAGGAAAAAGTTTTTTTATTTTATTTTTTTATGTTAAGTATAAATTAAGTTTTGTTTTGTAGAAAGCCTTTTTTAAAATGAATTTCGTTTTGTATAAATTGTATCTTAATTTTAATCAATTTTTCATCAACCAATTGACTGGGTATAATAGCCTAAATAAGAAGCACATATAGCAGACATTATGATAAAGATAAGGAGGCGCAGACACGATTGCATTGCACGTGAACTGGAGCACATCTCATCATAAATTTTGCTCATTTAAATAATAGTGTGTGTGTGAGTGTGTGTATATATATATATATATATATATATATATATATAGGCTAATTGCGCAGCTCCCCCTGTCAATGATCTAGCACCCCCTCAGCACCTGCGTTAAAAATTATCTGGCGCCGCCCCTGACTCCATACCTGATCACACAGCACTCGCAATCGTGTTCATTAGTTTACGATCTGTCTAACAGTCCTGTCTAATATGTTATTAGATAGAACTGTTATACATAGAGAGTAGACAGTATATGAAAATGTATTAGCGTTTGCCGTGTGGTTGATATCCAATGTTGCTAGCTGAGCCGAAATACATAAACATGTTTCTCTTGGTCCCCTCAAAGTTGCGTTTGGATTTTCTCCTCAGCGTAAAGGTTAAGAGGTCCATCTATCACTGTTTTCCATGTTCGTAGAGTTCTTTTCTGGAGTAAATACAGTGGGGAGAACAAGTATTTGATACACTGCCGATTTTGCAGGTTTTCCCACTTACAAAGCATGTAGAAATCTGTAATTTTTATCATAGGTACTCTTCAACTGTGATTGATGGAATCTAAAACAAAAATCCAGAAAATCACATTGTATGATTTTTAAGTAATTAATTTGCATTTTATTGCATGACATAAGTATTTGATCACCTACCAACCAGTAAGAATTCCGGCTCTCACAGACCTGTTAGTTTCTCTTTAAGAAGCCCTCCTGTTCTCCACTCATTACCTGTATTAACTGCACCTGTTTGAACCCGTTACCTGTATAACAGACACCTGTCCACACACTCAATCAAACAGACTCCAACCTCTCCACAATGGCCAAGACCAGAGAGCTGTGTAAGGACATCAGGGATAAAATTGTAGACCTGCACAAGGCTGGGATGGGCTACAGGACAATAGGCAAGCAGCTTGGTGAGAAGGCAACAACAGTTGACGCAATCATTAGAAAATGGAAGAAGTTCAAGATGAAGGTCAATCTCACTCGGTTTGGGGCTCCATGCAAGATCTCACCTCGTGGGGCATCGATGATCATGAGGAAAGTGAGGGATCAGCCCAGAACTACACGGCAGGACCTGGTCAATGACCTGAAGAGGGCTGGGACCACAGTCTCAAAGAAACCCATTAGTAACACACTACGCCGTCATGGATTAAAATCCTGCAGCGCACGGAAGGTCCCCTTGCTCAAGCCAGTGCATGTCCAGGCCCGTCTGAAATTTGCCAATGACCATCTGGATGATCCAGAGGAGGAATGGGAGAAGGTCATGTGGTCTGATGAGACAAAAATAAAGCTTTTTGGTCTAAACTCCACTCGCCGTTTTGGAGGAAGAAGGATGAGTACAACCCCAAGAACACCATCCCAACCGTGAAGCATGGAGGTGGAAACATCATTCTTTGGGGATGCTTTTCTGCAAAGGGGACAGGACGACTGCACCGTATTGAGGGGAGGATGGATGGGGCCATGTATCGCAAGATCTTGGCCAACAACCTCCTTCCCTCAGTAAGAGCACTGAAGATGGGTCGTGGCTGGGTCTTCCAGAATGACAACGACCCGAAACACACAGCCAGGGCAGCTAAGGAGTGGCTGCGTAAGAAGCATCGCAAGGTCCTGGTGTGGCCTTGCCAGTCTCCAGACCTGAACCCAATAGAAAATCTTTGGAGGGAGCTGAAAGTCCGTATTGCCCAGCGACAGCCCCGAAACCTGAGGGATCTGGAGAAGGTCTGTATGGAGGAGTGGGCCAAAATCCTGGTGCAGTGTGTGCAAACCTGGTCAAGAACTACAGGAAGCGTAATATCTCTGTAATTGCAAACAAAGGTTTCTGTACCAAATATTAAGGTCTGCTTTTCTGATGTATCAAATACTTATGTCATGCAATAAAATGCAAATTAATTACTTAATCATACAACGTGATTTTCTGGATTTTTGTTTTAGATTCCGTCACTCACAGTTGAAGAGTACCTATGATAAAAATTACAGACTTCTACATGCTTTGCAAGTGGGAAAACCTGCAAAATCGGCAGTGTATCAAATACTTGTTCTCCCCACTGTATATAGGCTATAATCTGTTTAAACAGCTTTTTTAAAAATGGCGGGTGCTTGTCTTTCACGTGCGTTCAGCAACTCAGCATACACTAACGTCACTGGTAGTTCCTATAGTGCTGGTTTAGACCCGACTCTTAAGTAGGAGCTAAATTAGTTCTTCCAAAAGGAGTTCTTAGAACTAAAATTGTTCCTAGTTCCTGCGGTGTGAATGCGCCAAAATCCTGGTACTTCAGCTAATAGTTTTAGGAACTATGAAAAGGTTCCTCCGGTGCGAAAGCCCCTAATGAGAACCACCATGTTGGTGGAAAAAGGCAATCTGCTGTAACTCAATCCTGCTCCTGGAGGTCCACCTTACATCGCCTACTGTAATCTAATCTAACACTCTAGGACTTTGGCTTTACCTGAAAACTACAGGCTGGTGTGTTGAGTGGAAGGGAGAACACCTGTCAGAGCAGGGGTGTCCAATCCTCCTGAAGGGCCACTGTGCTGAGAAGTTTAGCTCCAATCCTAATTAAAACACCTGAACCAGATAAGCAAGGTCTTGAGGATTACTAGAAACATGTAGGCATGTGAGTTTGGGCAAGTTGGATCTAAACTCTGAGACATTGGCCCTCCAGGAGCAGATTTGGGAATCCCTGTCATATAGGCTTGATACATGAAAATGGTCCTGGAATTAATGTTTGTTAATGATTTTTACCTTTAGTGAGGAAGAACGTGGTCAAGTTCCCCTCCAGCCTGGAGGTGGATGTCCAGGACGTGACAGAAGAGTTCCAGGATTTAGTGTTCATAACTCCTCTATCACTGACTGAAGTTGCAAGTCAGTCAAAGGAGTCCTTCCCCACTATGGCAGAGATCCTTGATAGCCCAGAAGGCGATCAGTTTTTTAATAGCAGCTGGTTCAAAGAACTGCAAAGTGGAAGGCAACTCGTGTTGCATGAGTGTGGCCACACAACATTTATATTAGCCTCGACTCCAAAGGGAAAGAAGGGAAAACAGTACTACTTCATCTCAGAGAGGTATGGTGGACGAATGAGAAGAAGGGCCCGGGAATTCGGATCAGTGTACGAGCTATACTTGGGATCCTCTCAGTCTCCAGGTTTGAAGGTTAGTGTGACTAGGCACTGCGAGGCGGAAGAGGAAGAGGGAATTCCTGCGCTCAGCGTTGGCGAGCAGCTAGAAGTGTTAAGGTTGGATAGGCCCAAGGATAAATCTGGAGCTGCTCAGAAAGCAGAAAGTCTAATTTGTAAACGTACTATGGAAGTGGATGACGAGGATGATGAAGAAGATGAGGAAGACGACAGTGAGGAACTCTCTCTGCCACTGTTTATGGCAGGTCACTTTGTGGAAAAGCTTTCAGACAACAAGAAGTATAAGCTAACTGATTTAATGAGCAGCTCTTTTCCTCTGGATGTCAAAGTGGTGACTCGGGATAAAGACCTAGAAAAAGATCCCCTAATGGGGTTAACAGCACTTAAGCTTGAGGAGACTTTCACAGAGACCATAGTATTGGCAAGCCTATCCAATAAACCAGATTGGTGTTTTGAGTTGCCAGTAAATTGGTTAAAAATGTCTCTCTGTTTCACCTCTGATCATCTGCCGTGGTCCAGTGATGAACCCCCAGACCTTCATATAGAGACGGTCACTGAGGTGACAGAGAAATTCTACTATGAATATCACAAACGCATAAGCAAAACTGAGGAACCCCCTCCTCGTCCACCAAAGCGGAAACCATCCAATCCAAAAGCACCTAAGAAGCCCCCCAAGTGTAAAAATATATTACCAAAAGTAAGGAGCAATGTGACCGAACAACTGGACGACCTCTCGCTTCATCAGACAAAGGGTAAACGGGCCCCTGCACCACCTCCGCCAGATGATGTAAGCACACACTTTTATTCACCCAACTAAAATAGAAATGTAGGAATCAAACAGTAATGGTTTTGTTACATTCTCAGATAAGCTACAACAGGATTATCTATTACAGCATCCTCCGTGGTTAATGTTTATGTTGAGAGATGGAAAAATCAATTGCTCACATACTTCAAGTTATGGTCATGGTCAAGTTAACAAGCACAGTAATCAATTCTTTATAAATGAATAGTTCACCCAAAAATGTGATCATCTTGTCCAAAATCCATGACTTTTTCTGTGAAACAAAAGTTCTGCTGAATTATTAGCATGCTCTTTGCTTTACAATGAAAGTGTTTGGGAATGGACGCTGTCAAACTCCAAAAATGACAAAGCACCATACATATTGCCAGTGTTCGAGTGGTCTCTCAACTCTTTTCAGTTTCAATATCAATAATTAAACCTGATTATATGTTGTTGTTGTTGTTTTTTAGAAACTTTAGTTATTCATATATTTATGTTGTGAATTCATTTTTGGTAGAATTGAGAACATGTCTGTTCATCATTTCCACTGCATTATAGATGAAGAAAGACATTTCTACACAAGGAATCATGTAATAAAACAACTAATAATTACATTTTGTCAGTGACAGAAATGTACTTTTTCATTAGGGGCTGATATTCACTCCCTTAAATTGATTCCCAGGGGCATTTTTACCTTTTAAGGGCACATGGCATGAGTCAATTGAAATCAGCATCAAGACAATCATCTTGTCACTGCAAAAAGCTGCATTTGAAGTGGCAATTAGATGTATTTACACCGACTATTTATTGCAGTTAAGAGGGCAAAGGGTGCATTTTCACAGCGACTACAAATGCATTGATTAATGAAAGAGATTGTTTTAAATAAAATTTGAATTAGAAAATATGAAATGGGGGGAAAAAAGAGAACAGCCACATTTTTTTTTAAAATTGCAACTGGTTCTAAGAACTACAAAGGAAATCATTCATTCAGGAATGAAGCAAGCGACTGACTTGTCATTGATTAATTCACTAAACTATATTCCATTCAAAGCGGAGACAAAGTTCAGATATGGGAAGGCATTGCACGAATTGTATTGACCACTTTTATGGTGCTCTTATGTCATTGGAGATTGTTTCCTCATTTTCATTGTATGTAGCATGTCATTCATAATGGCATTAAAAAATGCATGTTTGGAACAACATGAAGGTCAGACAATTATGATCGAGTTTTCATTTTTGGGTGAACTATCCATTTTCTCCTAAGAAGGTAAAAACATAAATCAGCCCTTATAAACTCTGCTATGGTAACCATGTACATACTGAACAGGAAGAAACTGCATTGTGTTCCTCTTTTCCTCTTATTTGTTAAGCTGACTCAGCAGCTTATAAACTTGACTCTTTTTTTCCCTGTGTAACTCCCCAGAATCCAGACCAGCCCCCTCCACTCTTGCCTAGGAAAAGCATATCAATAGCAGAGAGCGTCAGCATGCCCAATATGTACGTGACAGGTCCCACGAACGCACGAAATGCAGGTTGGTTTGTCTTTACATTGAGATATTTAATACTTTCATGATTTTTAACATCTTTGAACAGCAATGACCCAAAATCAGAAAACTAAAAGATGTAGATTTTAATCGGATCCTTTTCTTTCCTTCCACCAAAAAAAGCAAGGAGACTCTCTGACTCTGACCACGACTACGAGTCTATCGAGGACACATTTAAAAATCCCCATGAAAGCATTTTCTATTAGAACAAGGACACTTTGTATTCATGTTAAATGAAAACAGCTACTGTGTCTTCATAACAAGAAGTGTAAAAACTCAAAGAAATCATACAAAGCACCAGCCAATATGGAGACTCCACAGCACAAATATGAAATACTTTTCTATGCATCTAAATACTCAAAGTTGTGCCAATGCAAGCTTTAAGAAATATACACTTTAATGTAAATTAGGCAATGTCGTTTGTACTGCTTATTCCTTAGTACATGCTGAAATGTAAAGAACAGAATTAAGTTTGTAAATGTGTATGCTTTTAATAAAAAAATACCAAAAAGAACTGAAATATATGGTTATATATATTTTTGCTTGTTTTCCTTGAAAACTACATAGATATGAAATGGGCTTATTGAGGTCTGGTAACAGATATGACTGAAAGGTAATTAGGCTTCATTGTCTGTTGATCTGAAGTGGTCCTCATCAATGGTGGAGAAAATGTGTCCCTCGTTGCTGAGAAAGTCCACAATTTGCCTGTAAATGGGTAAAGAGAAGCGAGAATCAAACAGCAGTTAAAGGACTTTTCGTGACAAGTTGAATGTGCAGAAGACAGATAAGAGACTTCATTTATCTCATTTTTTCAGTTCTGAATAAGGAATAGATTCACTTTGAATATCAGCTTGGGTTGTGTGTTTTTTTTTATGGCTTTTGCACTGTCTTAGTTCAGTGTTAAAAAAAAAAGGTGTTGACAAGCGTTTGCATATTGTGAGCTGTGAAGCATTTGGTGGGAAATGAGTAAAGTTCACAAATGAACAAACCGGTGTCTGAAAAAGGCTTCTTCTACCAATACCAGTCAAATGTCACGGCTCTCGGTATCGGTATTTTGGTACCACAGCAAAAAATATATTTTTTAACTTAAATTATATTACTGTAGTTCATTTTTAATGCTATTAATGATCTTAAGTAAATAATTAATTTAATAAAAAAATGGGCATTCTATAATAGGATCCAATTTTACAGTTTCTACAGTTTAAAGTGAGCAGCGCATCAAAACAATGGAGCGGTTCACACCAAAAGCACTCAGGGCCACTTAAGGTAATGCTATATCTGCTAATATCTTTATCTAGAGCAGTCTATATCAGCATATGACTCCAACCCTTCAAACTAGATTTGTGATAAGATGGTTTATATACACTACCGTTCAAAAGTTTGGGGTCGGTACGATTTTAAATACTTTTAAAAGAATTATCTTCTGCTAACCATGGCTGCGCTTATTTAATTAAAAATACAACAAAAATCAGTTATAGTATTAAATATTATTCCAGTGTAAATCAGCTGTTTTCTGTGTGAATATATAGTAAAGTGTAATTTATTCCTGTGATCAAAGCTGAATTTTCAGCATCACCAGTGTCAGTGTCTTCAGTGTCAAATGATCCTTCACAAATCAGTATAATATGAGGATTTGATGCTCAAGAAACATTTATTATTATTATCAATGTTGAAACAGTTGTTGGTCTGTCAGTTGTACAGTTTTTTTTTTTTTTTTTTAGGATTCTTTGATGAATAGGAAGTTCAAAAGACTTTTGTAACATTATAAATGTCTTTACTGTCACTTTCGATCAAATTAATTATTCCTTGATAAATAAAAGTATTGATTTCTTTCCTCCAAAAAATAAAAATAAAATTCTCACTGACCCCAAACTTTTGAACGGTAGTGTATATATATATATATATATATATATATATATATATATATATATATATATATATATATATATAGGGCACCTTGATGCATTTTAAAAATGACTAGGGATGCACCGAAATATAAATTCTCGGGGCGAAACCGAAACTTCTAGATGCACTCATTAACCGAAACCGAAACTAATTATTCATTTCGTATTTAAATTTTTGTATTTTTTATAATTGTATTATTATTATAAGACTTTTTAAATTAAATGCAATAATTTAATTAATCTGAATTTGAAAAATACAAGGCAATAAAATAACCACACTTTTATTTAAAGTAACACAAAAATTAGTATATATATATATATATATATATATATATAATATCAATATATTATTCTTCATTCAGTTCTATGCAACAGATTGAACAGATTTATTTTTTGACCAATTATCTAAATAAAGTAGTCATTCAAAGCTATTATCATCAGAGCATGTGAGCAGGATAGCAGTGGATCAGTGAACAAGAGGATAGCGTCATGTTACCAGCGTTGCCCAGGACGGCTAGACACACCATATTACAGCACAGTAGGGCTATTGCAAATTTCAAGTCGGCACGTTTTTTGAGCGGACTTATGAAATATGTCCATAAAAACTTTATTTTTTCCCCCCCATTTACGTCAGCTAAATGCACTATTTGTCAGGGTGTTTGAGATAATAGAATGCCTATACATCTATACACTATCTGGGAAAATGATGATAGTTACTAAAAAAATGATGATAGATAGTAAAAAAAAAAAAAAAAAAACCTAGTAGAGCCTACAACCCATTTTGTATTTAATAGGCTATATGCACGCATAAGTTCCGCATTTGACGCAAGGATGCTCTTCAGTTTCCGGTTGGGGAGATTTAAAGCGGAGGAAAACCGAGGAAAACGGGATTATGGCAGAGTCTTCAAAATGTACTGTCCTCTCGTCTTTGAAACGAAACTTTAATACGTTTAGATGTAGTTTTATATATAGTTATGTTTATTTAAAGCTCCAGTCCGTAACTTTTTTAAGTTTAAAATAATCCAAAATAATTATATTAAAAAAAACTTATTCTGCCAGTGGTCAAAACTATCTGCTTGCCATAGATAGATTCAATACGGTTAGCTTGTAATAATGATTTTAATTCCAGTGGTACTGGTGGGTTTCCGCGGGAAATTCGAGCATGTCTTTGCGTCATTACGTCACACCCGTACACATAAAGAAGGAGTTTCGGCTAGCCGGCTATACTGCGCGTGACCAGATGTTTAGATGTATAGGCTTTTCTCGCAGCACTTTACATAATTAAACTTATGGCATCCAGAAAGATCCAAACAACAATCATCAGTGTCAACTGGAGATTCAGCAGTTATAAAACCCAAAAGACTTCGTACTTCGGATTTAAGGTGGCTAGAGAAAGAGAAAGAAACCGTCTCATGCGAACACAAGGATTTAAACATCGGCGGGGCTTTTGAAAAGTGCGTGAACTCCGTGTTTTGAAGGAGTTCAAAACGGAAGAAGAGACGGCTTTTTTCTGCTGAACAAGTAAGACATTTCAATAGTTCAATCGTGTATCAGTACGTTTTCTTAATTCACACAGTTATGGAGTTTCCTTTGTTGTGCCTTTCTCGTTTTGCTATTATGGAGAATATGAATTCTGAACTACACAGGTAACCATAAAACACATTAAATTTAACATTAGTCACGCAATGCTGATGTGATGTTGTTAACATGAACAATTTGAGAACAAAGTAGGCTATAATTTGCACGGTTGCTGTAAATCGCGTTGATTAAATCTAACGAAGCTTATATGTCGAATGCTTTTTCCCCCTTATTTGGTCAGAACAAAAATGGATTTTACTTACTTGGTCAGAAGACATTTTCTTATGAAAATTCTTATGTTGGTCAAACTTTCAAAAAGTGAATCTGTGATTCTGTATGCCAGTATCCACACAGCGCGGTGACTGACAGCAGCACTCGCCTCAAAGCACTGTGTTCATCCGCGCTGTTTCATGCCGATTTACAACCCACGTAAAGATAATAATTCCGCGAATCACTGCAGTTACAGATTTCGAACAGAGAGATGGCGACAAAGAGGAAAAGCTACGGACTGCAGCTTTAATATAATAAACAAAGAAGCATAAACAAAATGAGGGGTGTCTGTTTTGTCTGTTTTTGTGACTAACGTTTCTTTAGTATAGCAATAGAGTATAAAAACCAATATAAATTCTCGGTATAGCATTGGACTCTACGATCGGCGGAAGTAATCCAGCATCCTTAGACCTTCACCGGAAATACTGCCGTGCATAGAGCATTGTTCTACATCTGTAGTGAAACCAAAAATGTTAAGGATGACTGACTCCATTTCCCCCCTGGCAACTAAAAAGAGGCAAACATTATCTGACTATTTTTAAGTTGGCCTACATGGGTAAAATTGGAATTTGGTGTAAACATCATTACTAATCTTAAGAGTCCAGTTCTGTTTAGTTTGTGCTTAGCTGACAAATTTGCTAACGTTACATCAGAATCCATGCCATAATAATTTAGGCTGCTCTACTAGCAAACAGCAAATGCTGCAGTGCCAAGTAAATGTGCTCTTCAATACTCTGAATCGAATATCAGGCCAACAGAAGCAGGGACGTGCACAGGGGGGGGGGGGGGGGGGGTTGCCCAGGTTGCTCAGGTTGCCCTTCCGAAAAAAAGAAAAAAAAATCGTTACAATGGAAGCAGAATTTCACGTAGGCCTAGATAACAAACAAATAATAATAATCGCAAAGCCTCATTCACTTCCATTCGGGCACCGAAAGTGAAAGTCAGTAAGGGAAGGGCAAACTGTTTACGTGGCTGGAGCGCTGCACGCGACCATAGACTGCACGCGACCGGTGCGTAAGGCCCCGCCTCCATCTCGTGTCATAGCGCGTCAATTAATGTGTACAACATCCATGACAAAATGAAGCGAAACTATCCTTCTGGTCACGAAAAGAGGAAGAAGAAAAAAAAAAAAACACGAAAGTGAATTGCGGGAACAACAATCAGGTAAACTTGTGTCCTCTCCTCTCAATGACATTGACATTGATTGACTATTGATTTATAGGCTATATTGAATTTAAAATGTTGATTAGCTGGACATACTGGTCAATATGGATGCACATCCCTCAGTAAATAATAATAACCTTAAATCAAGAATTGCTTCAACATGCATAATAAAAATAAAAAAATCATACTGATGGCGAAAATGCCCAGGCTGTAGAGAGAACCAAAGTTAATCCCAAAAGCCAAAGCTCAGGGTTATAATTTATTATTTTCTTCTTATTTATGTTTACGTTAATATTCACTTGTTATGTTAACATTCTATAGAAAATAAATATTGTTTGTTTGAACCTCATTCTGTTCTATATTGTTGTACTTATTCTTTGACTGTTTTGTTTAAAGGAGGGAGGATTGTATGGGAGCACTGAAGTGTCAGGTGTGACTGTGGCAATGGCAAATGGTTTACATAGCTCATGGCATCACAGGTCAGGTAGAGGGCCCCTTAAGCCTAGTTCACACTACATGATTTTAAGCCCGATTTGCAAATCGTTGAGCTCGCCGACAGGTCAGGGTGTTATCGCGTGCAAATCGTGGGCGATGAACGCTCGCCAATCTGTTAGTATGAAAGAGCCAGACGTGTCGCCGAGCCCGGAAAAATATCTAGCATGCTAGATATCCAGAGCACTCAACCTCACGTGATGTCATGAGCTACAGCCAATCAGAGCAAGGCATGTTCGCGTGTTGTGTTCTTCTTCGTCTTCTTCGCTGGGTATTGGCGCGCGTGCTGTTTCGCGT